CTACTCGCCGTAAACTACAGACAGTATTTAATTCATACATTTTCTTTGTGTCATAACTAAAATGTTCTAATTTACAACAACACCATTCAAATGTTGGCTATCCCGTATTAATCCCTATCACTATATCGAGCTTCATCTTGTTTAACCGAAGGTATAATACATATAACTCTAAGCGGTATTTATCATATTTACTTTTTGATTATTTGACTACTATTGTCGTAGTACAATACATTATTAGTTAATTTATTAGTACGCATATGGTATGGAAGAGTTGTTGTTTTGGTAACGTGCACGATTTCTGTTGATTAAGATTGCGTGAAACGACATCTAGCGATGATCTATGCAACTGATCTTAGAATTCAAGCACTAGACGCTAGATGTCGTTGAGACAAAATATTTTATGATTCGGGTTTTGCTAAATATTTAAGCAAATATTATCATATTGTAAATTAATGTACATTGCACCAACACGCAAGTTCGATAAATAATAAATTATGATAAGAGGGAAAAATAAATGTATGTACCTATAGCACGGCTACGTCAAAGTCCAAATTAAACGGTAATTTATTACTAACTCATTAGAGCATCAAATGAATATCAATGATTGTAATAACAGAGGATTGTTCTGATATTTGTATGAGCAAACGTTAGCAATAAAATTAATTGTTTTGATAAAATTAGTTTCAAATCAATTATTTACGACCTAATTCCTGATATTCTGTCACGTTTATTATTACAAGTATAATTAATAATACTGTATTGATATTGATTAAACATATTGCAGTTTATTCGAATAGATTATCATGATGCATTTGTATGTTGGTACTTATTTAAAAAATAATAAAGACTTAGCGCGAACTAAGCCAACGAATGGCAAATATAAGACCATTAATATTTTAACACAATATTTAAATACCAATAATGTGTAGTGTAAACACTTACTGGCCTTGTAGTAATAGGTATATATAAAATATTATCAACAGCGTCAACTATCTCTTAAGGACATCATTTTAGAGACAATGCTAAAGATAATGATAGTAAAATCAGGTTAGCGCTTCTCTTCAGCAGTAAATACATTTGTTATACATAAAATTATAAACGTTCGAAGCGCGTTGGGACTTCACTTCCGTCGTCAAATAACTTCCGGAACTCTTTGTTAGGGTCTGACATGTCCAAATGACTCCTATATTGCCGGTTTTTGTTACGTATTAGTTCTATTTATTAGCTTTTATATATATAAGAAGACCAAATTGCGTTACTTAAGTATAAAATTTAATTCTTCGAATTCTTTCCAATAACTATAGGCATTTATAAGGCTGAAGAGTTTGTTTGTTTGAACGCTAATCTCAGGAACTACTGGTTCGATTTGAAAAATAATTTTGTGTTGGTTAAAGCATTTATTGCGAAATATTATAGGCTATAAAACATTGCGCTGTGACTAATAGGAGCGAAGTAACAGCGAGAAATTTGAAAAAAACAGGGAAGATTATTCATCTCTGTAGGTTTCGGACGCGTACGCTGCAAAATCTGTTCAAGATACCCGAAAATACGTATAAATGATCTCAAGAAATGGCCATGACGCTATATATATATTAAATTAATCTTAAAATATATATATATATATCCATATTTTAAGATTAATTTGCAAATGAGGGGCGCGACCGACGTAGTGTGTATCAGCTTAAATTTATAGAGATGAAGAGAAGGTTCCCAAAAACAAACTTGGATGCCCAAACTCACAATTTTACACAGACGAAGTCGCTGACACGGCTAGTGAAATATAGACAAAATATACTCTTACAAACAGTACTGATTCTATTCCATTAAATAACATTACAGACATTTTACGCGTGAAAAAAAGAACGGAAACTCTACAATATTTTAGCCACGAGGCCCTAAAATAATTTATAACTTCCTAATTGGTGTCACTGAATTAATGCGACATGATTTATTGTTTAACCCTCACCATAAAAAGTACTAAGTATATTATATACTACTGCTGAAAGATGTGTTTTCAGCATGGTTACGAAACGGATATACTAATTTCGATGCAATTTGGAGTTATACATTTTTAACATAAACAATGTAAAAATGTTGATTTATATAGTTAATAATATTAAGGAATAGTATACCGCCTCTGTAGCCAATTGGGTAAACGTATTGCCTAGCATTGCGTTAAGCGCGAGAGTTCGGAGAGCGATTCGGATCCCGGGAAAACTTAAAATTGTTTCGGACAGGTAGGGCACAGAAGTCAGATCAACTACTTGCCCGTTAAAAAAACGGATCAGTGAAACGGACACAGAAATGTGTTCGCCCCATGCCCCACGAGGGGGAAACGGGCTTTCACTTTTTTTAGGAATAGTAAAAGAGAAAACACTATTTCTTTTACTTAAAACAATGATATAGTTCTAGAATCTATTACAGTCGATTACAGTGTTCGACTTTGACGTAAAGAATATCTGCTTGCCAATGTGAGGTTTAAATCTATATGTTATGTCAGTTGCAACGAAAGACTATCTTTACGACTGGACGAAGCGCCAAGCTCCAAAACACGCTAGGCTATGCCAGAAAATTAAACATATGATTAGTCTATAGTTATTTATAGTCGTATCAATGGACATGCGAATTTTGTTTGTGTCTCTAGAACTGTATAAGAAGTTCTACATAGTCTTTGAAGCGATGAAGCGAGGAGCTCTTATTGCACCTTTATTTTCCTAGGATTTGAATCCAAGACCACTTTTTAGGTATATTATATAGAGCAGCAAATATGTTTGCGTAAATGTTTAAGCCTGTAACATGCGGTGTTACAAGATCTTAAAATATCTCAAAAGTTACCTTTGGCAGAAAACAAAGTAAATTTGTTTAACTGTATTTAAAACACGGTATATATTAGTTAAACCCGACATTAACCGTGGTCACGGGGAGTCTGCAAAGCATCCGAAACGTCGTCGTTTTTTCAATTTATTTTCGATTTTAAACAACATATCACTTATACAGTATAGTATAGTAGTAGTACCTATTTATTAGTAGCTTAATCAGCTTGTAAAAAAATATTGACACTATCATTTAAAATTTAAATAAAACACTTAAACGGTTCAAAACGTGAAATTAGAAAAACTTATTTGATGCTAAAAGGCATCCGGTTTTTCCGGCGGGGTTAAAATAATTTTCAAAAAAGTTTAAATAATATATATCGCGTTTTAAACCGTTGAAGCGTTTTATTTCAACGTGTATTGCTCGCGTAAACTACAGACAGTATTTAGAATTAAACCCTCTACATTTATAATTAACATTTATTTTAAGGACGGCTAGTAATTGAAATTGGATCAGTCCCTCCAACATCAATATCAGGGCTTAGATTAATAATGTAGAGTGCACCACGTTCACGACCTCATCAATAACATTGTATCACGTCGTAATAATCGAATTTAGTTCGCTGAAATTATCTGAACGTTAACTTTAATTTCGTCGGCAGTGGTTTAAATCTCGGAACACAAAGTTGGATAAAACTTGTAGTGAATAATATAGTAGTTGGGGTCCGTCGTAATTACTTTTAAGTTAAGTGGATTAAAGGAAACATTGTATTCCCTAATGCACAATACTGTCTGTAGTTTACACGAGTAGTACCCATTTAAATAAAACATTAAAACGGTTTAAAACGCGATAGATATTAAAATTATTTCAATTACCGCCCGACATTTCGCGTATTCGCCAAATACCAACTTCAGAACAGATGGCGCTAGTGTAGCAGTTTTTTACTTTGACGTCGGAGACACCCTCCATCCTTAGTATTAGTCTCCCCGTGACCACGGTTGCTGCAAAGCATCCGAAACGTCAGGCCACAGTTAAAATAATTGTTAAATAGGTTTAACTAATATATATATCGCGTTTTAAACCGTAAAGATTTTATTTAAATTCCCTAATGTGTTTAAATACAAACGTTTACAATTATAAGTTAGTCAGACCAGCGAGTCGGTTGTAATTTATAAAATTAATGAATCTATAAAACTCTCAACAGTTGAAAAATACTAAAGAGTCACTTCTAAAATCTTCTGAGTCACTAAGGGTCGTTTAAAACGGATTCAAATGATCTAAATATTTTTACGGGCAATGCTCTTGTATAAATCCAACTGAAGTTTTGGCAGCGATGTCTAAATTTCCGTAATTTTTTATCAAGATATAAAAAAAATCATTGTATATGCTTATATTGTACCGCGTGTGCTTTGCCAAATACATAACATAGTTATGTTGCAAATTCTAATTTCCATATGCAAACAAATTTCTATCGCATATCTATTATTAATGTTTACAGCGTGTAATGGCAGAGTGCATCGCAATATCAGTGATTACTTGTGTAATTGACAGTTAGTGGAATTCCTGGAGAGATGTTTGTGCAACAAGTTGACAGAACAACTATATCGTCGGAAAACCACAAAAAATGTATACCTACTAATAAATAAAGCTAAAGAGTTTGTTTGTTTGAACGCGGTAATCTCAGAAACTACTACTACGAATTGAAAAGACTACACTATAAAATATAACGATGTGAACAATAGGAGTGAAGGTACAGTTGGGAATGTTGAAGAAACGGCGAAAATTAGTCATCTTTAAGGTAAGATACCCAAAAATATCAATGAAAGAATGATTCTTTTTTAAATGATCTAAAATAATGTTCGCGACAATATATGTCTATCTTTTAAGATTAACTTGAAAAAACAACAGGTTGCGAACGACGTCGTTGGTGACAGCTATCATTAAAAAAGAAGAGGAGGTTTGCAAAAACAAAATATAATAACTATTTTAAGCGGACGAAGTCACTAACAAAGCTATACTAGCTTTAATATAAGTACATATCTAAAACTGAGCCTCACCTCTAGTATGAGTAGGTTCGAATCATCTGCTGATTGTTCTCCCCCTAAAATAAATTGTAATACTAACACTAATAAAAAAATCATGCCAATAACAACATGCTCTAATCTCTACTACAAATACACAGCACATCACTGACGGCGGAATAGTCGCAGTATATGTTTAGCTATTGTTAATATTAATATAAACACTGCACACAATACAACGCCATGCGATGTCTCACGACTTTCCGACTCACCGGAGCTGTCTGTTTTATCACTTTTATTTTTCGCGGTAAACTTCACAAAATCTTGCAAATGATTAGGCAACTTTTGAACGTCTTTTTCTTCTCCCGAATCGATGACCCTAATTTTATGGTCAATTACTTTCGGTTCCCTATAATAGTTTTTCTCATTTTCATCTTCTGTTTCTGGGTCCCTAATGCCAAGTTTGTTCCACCTCTCCTTCGCTTTATCAATGAACTCTTTCTCGATACGGTTATTCACTCTAAAATCATCAATGTTAAGTGCTGATGAACTCTTTGAACATGAATTTCTGCTTAAAGAGCATGGAGTTTTTGTTATTTTAATAATTTTTTTCTGCTTCCTTTCCTCGCGCTCCGCCATTTGGCAAACATATTCTGAATACATCTTATTTCTTAATAGTTCTTCTTGACTTTTACTAAACGCTGATGAGAGTTTACTGCTACTTGAACTTAAGGGTAAGAAACCGTAGCTTCGACTACTTTTTAGTTCATTAACTGAACTATACACATTATCGCGTGAATCTTCATCTATGAGCATAGGAGCTCTGGGCCCGCCGCGTCTTTTAACAAGTTGTTGGTGACCTGCTTCTAGACGGGATAGTTCAGCTTCAACTTCTTTTTCTTTCTGTCGAATATATTCCATTTGTTGATCACATAAGTCCTTAGGTAACGATGGGCGTCGAGGTTGCAGATCTTCTCTTGTTTGTTTATAAATTTCATTAAAAAATCGATGCTTGTCTTGAATGTGGGAAACATCGTCCTCAATATCTTGGTTTAAGTTCCCAGTGGAATAATGAAAATATTTTTTTTGATTACAAACAGATTTAAAAGAATTTTCCAAGAAATCAGAATACTCGTCACTTTCATAGAATGACGATAACAGCCGTTTTGGCTTCGGCGGTGGTATAGGCTTGCTGTTTGAACTTTTATTTTGTAGTACATTCTCGTTTCTGCCAATATAGTCTTTGTTTTTAGTATAGGAAGGCAATACATTTCTAGATGGTTCCAGTTTAATATTACTGTCACATTTTTTTTCTTGACAGTTACCTGCTAAGGACGGTTTTTGTAATAAGGCAAGTAAACGACTTCCCGTTTGAGATTTAAAAGGAACATCAATCAATGTTTCTTCAGTTAAAACTGGTTTCATAAATTTTAATTCTTCCTTTGGCAGTTCCTTAAAATGTTTCTTAGTTTCTGTAAAATTAAAAGTATTTGTTTTTTCCATCAACATTTTTTGAGATGGAGATAAACAATTGTATGGAACGTTTTCATGTGGTTCTTGATAAGACTGAGTTATATTTTTAGGGTCCTCGTGAGTTATTTTTAATGAAGAATTTCTTGGCTGTACAGGAGGGGGTGGTGCTTTTATACTTTGAGCACTTGGTAACATCTTGTAATCTGAACTATTTTTTGTACTCCACTCTTTATCTTTACCCAAAGTATCAGTTGTAATTTTTTTAATATCAATCGGTGACCTATTTTCACCAATTGTTTGCAAACGCTGTGATACATTAGCTAGCTCCTCTAAAATTTGCTGACCATATGGTAACTTACAAATCGCTTCTAAACATATATTCCGTAAGCTAGGTGTTACGTTACTTATTGTATTTGATACACAATGTGAAGTAAGATTTGGAACACTTTCAATTACATCTTTAACATGACTTTTACATATTTCTTCATCTTGGGGTTTATCCGTTTCGTCAAATTCCGTACCGTAGATATCCGTCAGAGATGAACATTTTGGATTATATTTCGCCGTACATTGAGAAGATCCTATGCTACTAGATGAATCTTGTCTCACAAAAGTATCGCTATGAAAATCTTGCGGTGTGTCAGAATCAGATACAACTTCCTTAATCAAATTATTTATAGCATCGTTTAATTCACATTTTAAAACTTTAATTTCGAGATCATAGTTGTCAACTACCTTTATTTGTTTCTACTCCATGATCAGTAACTTTCTCTTGTTCTACTTGAGAAGTCATAATTTCAACGTCTTTTACGTATAAATCACTGTTTATAAGATCTGTTGTAAGAACAACTATTTCATGATCATCCCTATTATCGCAAAGTTTGTCGTTGGCTATTTTATTTTCAATAACATCACATTTTTTTGTTACAATTTCACAGTCTGATATTGATTTAGAAGTAATATTACTTGTTAAGAAATTATCTGTATCTATAACTTCTATCGTAGGCGTTATTATACGAACTGATACATCACTTTCCTCATTGTTATCTCCAGATTCATTATTATCATATAATGAACTGGTACTACTAGATGAATCTGTAAGATATACTATTTCTGCTCCAGTCATTTTTTCTACGGTTTTTGTGGTCCAAGCCCCTCTTGCTTCTGTTATTTCAGGATCTTTGATTTGTGCATCAACACGAATGCATTTTTGTGGTATTAATTTTCCAGATGATTTCTGCCCCGTTTTTGTAATTGTTTGTGTTCTAACATTGTCATTAGAAATAAACACATCGTCTTCCAATTCATCAAAATCACAAGGTTTTTCATTCAAATATGAATGGCGGCGGGAATTTGTAGATGATTCTCCGCTTGCCTCTTCATCAATAACATGTAAAGATCTTGAAGGTCCTGCTTTAAGATTGTAGATTTCTTCGGGCATTACTTTTTTACGCATACGTTGTTTTATGTCGTAATTTATTTGTTCACTGTCGCTTTTTATATTAGAAGGACTAGAATCAATTGCCTCTGTTGATAAATTTAAGCTTTTTATGTACTGTCTAAGAGTTTTCTCTTCTTCGGGACTCATGGATTTTATTTCATCGCATTCTGCTTTGCTAAGTGGAATTGTTGTGATAGACAAAGCTCCGGGAACTGTTTCCCCGTGAACTGATTTTAAGTCCTTTAAATCGTCCACATTCTCCCACTGGGTTTCTGGACCATTTTCAACTATTAAAACGCTACTGGTGTCTATTATCGCTAAATCATTAATACAGTCAGGCTCTTCTGCGTCATCTATAACTTCAACTATAATTGTTTGATCATCACTATCCATACTCTTACTCTTTACATTTTTTTGTTGCTTTGATCTGTATTTCGCAGACTTTTCTGGACTTTCTACTTTGTATTTTTCTAATATTGCATCATTTTCTTTGTTAATGCAGTCTGGGTCTAACTTTAAGCCATGATTTACATCATTACTTAAAACGCTATCAATAACTTCTGTTTCATTTTTTAGAATATCATTAGTCTCATTATTTATACAATCTTTATTTGTTTCCAAAGTTACATCGTTGCATGCATTATTCGTAAGACACATATGATCATTCGTTTCAGTTATATCACGCGTATTATTATTTTGTTGGGTCTGATTTTTGTTTTTTCTTTTATTTTTATTGTTTTTACGTCTTTTGTTTTTATCGGGCATAATAATATTCACACACTAAACCACTTTTATCACTGATAATAATTATCCACAAGGAACGCACACACGTATGTCGATTCGGAGTCGTATTTTTGGCGACCGTTTGACGTAGAAGATTACGTAGAGACGTAAGGTATATTACATCTAGGATCCGCAAGGGCTAGCAAACCGAGAGAAGCGTCGTTGTTAGTTCCACGTAAAAGATTTTTTGTTTCGCAAACGACAGCTGAGCGCGGCAATCTTGCGCTCGCACCACGATTTACTAATAATTATAAATGGGTTGAAGTGCGCAGGCGCGGTTTGGAATTATTTTTACGCTGAGACGTGTACGCGGTGCGCGACGTTCTGCTCCGAGGCCGAGGGAAGTCCGCTCGGCGCGCCGGCTACTTCATACTAACAAACAAATCTATTATCAACAGACGCGATTTAAATCATTTGTTACTAATTAAAATTGCACAGGCGTTTCCTTATCCGTTTTAGGTGTGCATAACGGAGAAAAACTAATAAACAATAGCCGATTTAAAACATATTAGGATCTCGCCGGACGTCACGTTTTTGTCGTTTGGAACGTAACAAAAATCTTTGAACTACGTTTTAAAATAGTATCGTCAAGTCTTCGTAACCTTCACATAACACAAATCATATTATAATAAATCACAGCAGATATGACTGATAAAACACATCATACGACAATTAATGAAATATATAACACTAGCTGTGTCAGCTACTTCGTCCACAAAGAATATTTATTTTGGGTAACCAAATTCGTTTTTGCAAACCCCTTACTCTTTATAAACTTAAGCTGTTTTCCCCTCGTTCTTACAAGTTAATATTAAAATATAGACATATAACGTCGCGGGCTTTTCTTCAGATCGAATTAAAGAGAAATCATTGTTCCATACATAGTTTTTGGGTATCTGAACCGTTTTTACACTGGTTTTCCCACGTTTCCCGCTGTATCTTCGCTTGTAGTAGTCCCATGGCGATGTTAGCCTATACCTACCTCGATAAATGCTCTAACCAACACAAAAAGAATTTTCCAATTCGAACCTGTAGTATCTTAAATTAGTGCGTTTAAACAAATAAACAAATCTTCAGCTTTATATATTAGTATAGATTAATAGATTTTCATATTGATACAATCACGAACTTGTTATAATAGCGATTAACAACTAACCTTCTTAATTATATTATGATATTAGTCACCGTGAAAAATATACATAAATACACTAAAAATACAACATCTAGGAGTAGGTATATTATAAAGGTTAACAACAATTGGTTCTAAGGAAGTGGGTGGTTACAATTAATTTGCTACAAAAGTGGGCTAAAAGTAGACCAGTATGTAGCTAGACTTGCAGGTCATATGATGATTGGATACTTCCAGTAGCGTATAGATGCATCTTTATAGTATATATAATACTGTCTATAGTTTACGCGTAGAACACATTTAAATAAAACACTTTAACGGTTTAAAACGCGATCTATTAGTTAAACTTATTTGAAAATGATTTTTAAGTCTCCCCGTGACCACGGCTGCTGCAAAGCGTCCAAAACGTCGGGCCGAAGTTAAAAATCATTTTCAAATAAGTTTAACTAATATATCGACTTTTTAACCGTTAAAGTGTTTTATTTAAAAGTATATATAATGTATAATGGGATCAGAGAAGAATTTTCTACAGTAAAACACACAAAGTTTTACTAAAAAAATTCTCTACAATTTAGGAGAGACATAATAGTCCTTACAGTTAGGTTAGATACTAAAGATGCTCCAGTATTTTTGGTATCTAATTTAAATAGTAATTGGAATGATTTTGCTAAACTGTATAAGCCTTCACTTTCCATCTCACAAGTAACTTACAAGGATCCTAATTGGCACAGAGTACAGCTATATTGTATAGCTTGAGATTGTGGTTGTTAAAGATGTAGGAAATTGGCAAAGGATTTTCGCTTTAAGTACATCTGTATACAAACTAAGAACTATTACGGGTTGTTTTAATATGTAATTGTACATTTTAAAGTTATAATATAAACTGAAACCGGCGCTTAGATCTGTGCCAGTTGATTCATGACCCGGGCGGAATTTAGATATTCCCACCAGCCATTCAATATCCAGATTTCCAAACGAAGTCTCTTTTAGAGAGATTATAAATAAAATTGCATACTTTCTATAGTTTACGCCATTAGTACACATTTAAATAAAACACTTTAACGTGTAACTTGGAATTGTGCACTTTACAGTCTCCCCGTGACCATGGCTGCTGCAAAGCATCCTAAACGTCGGGCTGAAGTTAAAAATAATTTTCAAATAAGTTTAACTAATATATCGTGTTTTAAACCGTTAAAGAGTTTTATTTAAGTAAAATTGCATTGAATAAAAATGATTTTTAACCTTTTCGAGATTGCGTCCCACTTATAAAATTGCATAAAAATAAGTTTTTCAGTGCCCTGCGCACACTATATTTAATGCATTCCACAAAGCAATGTCAGTTGCGTTCGGATATTTTTAGCAAATATTGTTTTGTTGTTCTGACGTTGAGGACTGTAGCACAAGGGTTAAACATTTGTTGTGAAATTTTGTCAACTTTTAAAGACATAATCTACGACAACACACAAGTAATGCCTTACAAATTATTAAGATAAAACACTGTAACGGTTTAAAACGTAAGATATATTAGTTAAACCTGTTTACAATTTTTTTTAACTACGGCCCGACAATTTGAACGCTTTGCAGCAGCTGTAGTCTACCCGTGACCCGTTTTAAACCGTTAAAGTGTTTTATTTAAATGTGTACCACTCGCGTAAGCTACAGAGAGTGTTCATGAATTATATACATTGCATAGAATCCTCTATAATGGACGGAAAATAGGTCAAGACTTATAAAAAGCTTTTAAAAATAGCATCATCGGTAACGGTTCCTACGTCACGTTATAATTACGAATGTTTGATACATGTAAACTTTTATTTGTGTTATTTTATGTTAGAAATTATAAATAGAATGTATTTATAATTTCTCATACCTTGTAATTTTTTGTTACAACAAATGGTTATCAAAATATTTTGTCTTGTCTGCAGTTTACGCGAGAACACATTTAAATAAAACACTTTTAACGGTTTAAAACGCGAAATTTACGTGACTTCGTGCAAGTTGGGCCATAGGTCAAATTAACTTTTTTTTAAATGATTGACATGGGGTTCATGACATATTTTAGTTTTTGATAATCGGAATTCCACAGACATGAAACCGAAACGCGATTAAGCTTCACGGCCTTTTCATCTAGGGACAGTGGTGCATGACCCGGACGAACTTCAATATTCCTACCACCAATTTAATATCCAGATTTCCAGACGAAGTCCAGCATGTTTCAGAAAGTTTATAAATTGAAGAATTAGAAACATGTTAGACCTGGTGAGAATCGAATCCACGACCCGTTGATTAGCCATACATTGCTACCATCAGATTAAATTTACTCAAAGCTCTTGTTATATAAATGCTTAAACGTATAATTTAACTAAATGAATATTACATTAAATCAATACAGTCGTGACAGTTCTTAATCAAAAGAAGAATGGAAGAAGTACTCAGCCACCAGAATAGACTGATGAGTATCTATGAAGTCATTACAATATATATTTTTTAATGATAGACATGGCATGGGGTCACTTGATGGTAGGTGATACACCTCAGCCTATATCATCTAAACAAGATGCGCTGTCGTCCTATTTTGGCTTTGGATATTCGGATATGCCTATCGTACCGTATTCTTTAATATAAGTACAATAACAGAATCTGAACTCAAATTACGTTATAAACAAATTACTGAATATTTAGTTACACACAAACAATTGTGAGTAAACTCTATTATCGGAGCGAATTCACAACGTTGTTTTGAGGTAGCAAAAGTTATAAATCGAGGGTGTTAAGGGTGACCTTCCAGAAATATCACACGAGTTCAATTCTGAATACTGACGTGTACAATTATTTAGCACTGTAAATGGTAATACTTTTTATATAAGCACGCAGGACACAGAAATCGTTAATTTACGGAACACGCAGGACTAGACCTGGCATCCACATCGCTCAATACTGGGGGGGGTGCTTGGGTTGCTTTGCATATTGTTTGTCCGTTTGTCTTTCTCAAGTCGGTTAAAAACGGACATTAGCCATCGCGATGACATAATCGCCACACAGATCCGGGCCAACGTGCCAAACGCACAGATAAGTTCGGGATTTTTTGGCACGCGTTCAAAGAATAATAAGGTAATTGTGTCGAATGCATAATACTCATACAATTGCATGTAGATACTATACAATTCATCAATTGGCCGAAGTTTCTAAACCTAGTTCGAGGCTAATATAATAAAAATGTAAATCAAATACTTTAACGGTTTAAGACGCGATATATATATGAGCCAAACTTATTTGAAATTTATTTTAACAACCCGACGTTTCGGAGCTTCAGCAGCCGTGGCACGGGAGGCAGGGTTCGCAGTTATAATTAAAACTACAAATTAGTTTGTTAATATATATCGCGTTTTGAACTGTTAAAGTTTTTTATTTAATTGTGTAAACTACAGCCAGTATTTAATATTTTTTTTGTTCCAAATTGCGATATTCACGGTAATGATTTTATACATTAATATTGTATACTGTCTGTAGTTTACGCAAGTAGAACACATTTAAATAAAACACTTTAAAGGTTTAAAACGCGATATATTTTAGTTAAACTTGTTTGAAAATTATTGTTAACTACGGCCGACGTTTCGTATGCTTTGCAGCAGCCGTGGTCACGGAACAGTCCGCATTAGTTTATTTAAAAGATTTATATTATGTTTCATATTACTGTTTGTAATATCACACTTTGCCTTTTAAAACATCGAAGTGTATCTTTGCAAGAGAACCTTTTAAAAGCTTTAATTAAAACTAGAGTTCGTTTGCCATTGTAAGGCTTCTTAGACAAACAGAATTACAATGATTACAAGAAAGACATAATGCAAGCCTTTTCCTTTGGGTTAAATTTCTAAAATGTAGATAAAAATAACTACATAAATTTATTGTGTTTTAAATTTGTTAGGTTTTTTTTACTTCACTTGATGATTGATGAAATATCCTAAGCATGTAACATCTAAACAAGGTGCGTTGTCGATCTATTTTGGCTTTGGACATTGCGAAATCCACAGACTCAAACCGAAACGCGATTAAACTTGAAGACTGCAGATATTACTACCACCCATTGAATATCCAGATTTATAGACGAAGTCCAATTGTCACGGACACGGTGGGGATAAAAGTTCGAACCCCCCTCATAATATTCAACCTCCATTACAGATGTAGATTTGAAACTTACAATCAAAATAATAACAATCAACGTACCCCAAAAAATTCGGTGTCATCGAGTTTTAAGTGTTCAACCGAACATAAAGAGAGACCCAATTCGTTTTATTTATTATAAAGGTCAGGATCGTTTTTGTAGAGATCGTTAGTGAGTACTAAACCCGGCTTAGCTTTAAAAGTGTCACATAAAATTACTCGTATTTAGATTAACGAGACCCTCACATCACCAAGGTAACGTAGACGAATAAAGATATTAAATTACACGTCATGAATGTAGGGTAACACGAAAATTTTGTTAACGAGATGTTTAGGTTTCATTTTTATTGATATTTGACGCTTATCGTGACGGCCTCGTTGGTCTAATGGCAGCAGTTTATGGCTAATATTCAACGGGTCGTGTATTCGATTTTTACCGTGTCCAACATGTTCCTAATTTATACTAATATATAAAGCTGAAGAGTTTGTTTGTGTGTTTGAACGCGCTAATCTCGGGAACTATGGGTTCGAATTGAAAAATTCAAAAGTTTGTGTTGGTTAGAGAACTTATCGAGGAACGCTAAAGGCTACCTGAGAAATGTGAAAAAAAAAATAAAAAACATTATTATAGGTTTCCGAGGCGTACGCTGCAAAAACGGTTCAAGATACCCAAAAAATACGTATAAAAGGAATTTCCTCTTTAAATGATCTAAAAAATATGTCTATATTTTAAGATTAACTACTAATTTTTTTGGGTATCTTGAACCGTTTTTGCAGCGTACGCATCGGGAACCCACAGAGATGAAAATTTTCCCCCGTTTCATTCACATTTCCCACTGTTTTTTGTTCCTATTAGTTACAGCGCGATTGATAATTTATAGCCTTCATCGAATAAGTTTTCTAACTAGCACAACAATGAATTTTTCAATTCGAACCAGTAGTTCCTGAGATTTGCGCGTTCAAACAAACTCTTCAGCTTTATATATTAGTATCGATTTTTCTAGATTATAGAAGTATATAGAAATATATACACTATGTACTTACGTTTTGAAGGACTCGGAGTCAGAGTACTACTTGAAGACTTTAACGGAGGCTTTGACGACACATCGTTCGACGGTTCCTCCCCTGTACCTGGAAATAATAATTGATATATAATAGAATTATTCAATTGAATAACTAAAAAAAGATAATATTATGTAAAGGCAGCCTATATCGTGTTTAACAAGATGGTATAATTAGTAAATACTATCGATTAATGGTAAACTACTTAGTTTTACGTTTGACACCATAGCTCAATACGCGTAGCATTGCGTTACGAAATGGTCCTGGGTCTGAATCCCGGAATATAGAGATCGTTTAGATCAGGCAGGTCACAGATTTCACTACTTCCCAGTAACTGATATCGATTAGTGAAACGGACACAGAAGTATTTGCTACAGGGGACAATACGGTTTAGATTTTTTTTATTTAGCTATCGATATTTCTCAAATTGAAGTATGTTTTATATGTTCCATTTGTTTTCCTAGCTTGTATAAATAAAACCGAGTTGAAATAAAAAGTGATGGCGAACAGGGAGGTGTTCACGAATAATAAATTATATCCAGGGTAGGGACATGCCTCACGCCTTCTATTTGTTTGACGTCCACTTCAGTCGACAAGTCATAAATACACAAGAAAATAGAACGTAAAAACATTGTATCTACATAACAGTTATAGATACACTTGTTATATTATTACACGAAGTTTGCGTGAATTAATGTTTATTTTTTTGACCAAACACAAACGGCTCTATCGATTTCGATAGCACAGAGACTAATTTGTTTCTCATCTGTAAATCAATGACATGGGTCGTCCGACCGATGAGGTATGGGTAAACCGCGAGGCGCGTCTAGTTGCAATTTTTTTAACATACTTTGAAACAAATTATAAAGTGAAATACTACCATACAATGTAATAAATTATAAAAACTTAGCTTATTATAGACGCTACACTTTTGATAATAGTGAAATTATTTAAATAAAACACTTTAACATAAAATTTTCAAATAAGTCTTACCGATATATATCGCGTTTTAAACCGTTAAAGTGTTTTATTTAAATGTGTACTACTCGCCTAGACTACGGACAGTATTGAACTCAGTATTTTCAACAATCACTTCCTTAGTTTATTAATAGGTGAAGTGCGTATCAAATGCACTAGAAATCGATCACATACGTAGTTGTTACATTTCCGATTACACTAAAAATACATTCTTCCAATAAGCATGCCAGCATTTGTAATTACTGTTATAGAATGGAGCGAACTCAGAGTGTTTCCGGTCAGTGTTATTTAACACTCGCGTAAGGTATATACATATTACGTTCCATTTTCAAATCAATCTCTAACAACGAATATTGCTTTTTTCTATTTTTAGGTAAACGGTTTTATCGACGAGGCAATATTTTTTCAACGTGACCGATTTTCGTAAAAAATACTGGCTGGTAATAAAACATATACAGTTTACAAATTACTGACGAATGTAAATATAGATAAAATATTTTGCAAAGTGATAATCTATACTAATATATAAAGCTGAAACGTTTGTTTGATGTTTGAACGCGCTAATCTCAGGAGCTGCTACTGGTTCGAATTGAAAAAAATATTTTTGTGTTAGTCAGAGCATTTATCGGAGAAGGCTGTTAAGGCATTGCGTTGTGATTAACAAGACCGTAGAAACAGCGGGAATTGTGGGAAAAAAGGAAAAAAATCATTCATCTTTTTGGGTTTCGGATGCATTGCGCAAAACATATGATAAAATCCCTTTTGAAAATATCAAAAAATATGTCCGCGACAGTAAGTCTATCTTTTAAGAACTATTTTATATGCGGACGAATTCGCCGGCTCAGCTAGTAACGTATATATATTGCATTAACTTTGAAAGGTCCTTATATCGAATCCTGGGAAAAACAACCGGATTCGGTTGGAGGTTTACACAGGCTATTTTTCTGTATTTTGTTGGAATCAACACTTAATTCGTATTTCCTCAAATAAGTACCGTAAAGATAACAATTAATGAATCTAAAACAACCAAGAATTCCCGATACAAATCGAATAACTTAATCGGAGTCTGGATGATCCTCGACAAAGCGAGTTTATTTTTCAAGAGTCTCGACTGATGTTGGGAAATTGATTGTAGCTTCTCACTTTGTTTAAGATTAAATCAGGCTATCAGAGGCAGATTACTGCAAATAAATCGAATTACGTAAATAAAGCAGAACATTCTTTTGCGATTTATTAGTTGATTATTGTTTGATCGACTGAGTTATTCGAATTCTTTATAAAAAAAATAACGTGGCATAGTTTTGTTTACTATCATTTACTGTAACATTTTAGATATGGTTTAGTATAGTTTAAATATCAACATTAATAAGTAAGCATGTATTAGTAATAATCAACTTCAATACTCTTTAAATCTAATTCTAGCATACAGACATATTATAATTGAGTCTTTCTAATACGTAACAGATGAAATTAGTTATAGTATTAAACAATATTTTACACTTGCCAACCTTGCAAAATGACCAAAATATTATATTTAAATAAAACACTCTAACAGTTTAAAATGCGATATATTTAAGTTAAACTTATTTGAAAATTATTTTAACTTAGGCCCGACGTTTCGGATGTTTTGCGGCCGTGGTCAACGGGAGACTAATGGGGAAATATAATAGTCAAATTCAATTCTAAATTTGAGAACCACACATGACTTTGACGTGACGTTTACCTGATAAATTAACGTTAACACGATTTAAATATAGTTTTCAAGATCGACTTGTTAGTTTTACCTTCTTGAATCACGTGAACATGATCACTGCACTCTAACTGCGCTTAACGGAACGTAGATTAATGACAGGTCATATCAAGCTCACAAGCTGATGGCCACTGTCACAGGGCGATCACCACAATGGCACATCCCGAATGTAAGTACAATAAAGGCCGCTTTGTACGCCGATTGCGATATGCGAGACTAAACACCGACCGATACTATTATAGTAACAGAAGTGTCTAACACGAAAAGCGTGAAAAAATTAATATCAATCAAAAGTATGACATATTCTTACTAAAATCTAGGCAGATTTTCTTAAAGTTTTTGCGAAAAGTACCTGCTAGTGTACTTCTTCTGAAAAAGGTTATGTACATGTAGGAGTATATATAGCGAGTAGAACACATTTAAATAAAACACTTTAACGGTTTAAAACGCGATATATATTAGTTAAACATTGAAAATTATTTTAACTACATTTCGGATGCTTTTAAGCATCAAATACGTTTTTCTAATCTCGCTTTTTAAACCGTTAAAGTGTTTTATTTAAATTTTAATTGATAATGTCTTTGATTTTTTTACAAGCTTACTAAGCTACTGAAAATGACTACTGCGAGCTATTTAATTAACGGAAGTTTGAAAGATGTAATGTACAATTAATGTGTTTAACGACAGATGATATGTTATTCAAAAATCGAAAATAAATTGAAAAAAATTTCGACTCGGACAGGACTTGAACCGGCATCGTCAGCGTTCCGTGCTGTTGCTTTACCAATTGAACTCCCGAGTCCTAGCTCAATAGCTCATTTGTTTCTACATATCACCCCATTTAATGCAGGGCCAGCTAGAATCCTGGTTTGACGTGTCGCTTCATCGGCACATGAATAAAACGTTCGCTATAAGCTCATCCATCAACTTCTAGCCATTCAAATATCACCATTAAGCTATCAAAACTAACACGTAGGCCTACTACTGTAATTTATCACGTGCTGTGTCCCTATTTTGTCATATTTTACGTGACATACTGAGTTCATTTTAGTGTGCTTCGTCATTGATATCATTTGTGCAAAAGCTTTCGTTTATTTCTTTTAACGATAGAGGAGGACATACATGACATAGGCTCCACTTGATGGTAGGTGATATACCCCCCTATCTAAATAAGATGTGCTCTCGACCTATTTTAGCTTTAGATATTCGGAAATCCACAGACTGAAACCGAAACGCGATTAAGCTTCACAGATTTTTCACTTATGGACGGTGGTTCGTTAGCCGCACGGAATTTCTAAATTCCCGCCACCCATTCAATATCCAGGTTTCCAGATGAAGTCCAGGATGTTTCAGGAAAATGATAAATTGAAAAATTAGAAACATTTTACCTAAATACTACAGTCTATAGTTTACGCGAGTAGTACACAATTAAATAAAACACGGTCTCCCCGTGACCACGGCTGCTGCAAAGCATCCGAAACGTCGGGCCGAAGTTAAAAACCATTTTCAAATAAGTTTAACTAATATATCGCGTTTTAAACCGTTAAAGTGTTTTATTTAAATATTTTATCTGTGAAACTATTTAAGGGAATATCTGGACTCAATTTTTTTTTGTTTTAATTCCTTGTAATATGATTCTGTGATATTTCTGTTTGTTTCGTGTTTTCTTAAATAAATGAATAAATACATTTGTTCCAATTAAACTTCTTCATACACCTAGTTTTACCACACAGTAGTTGTTATTTATTCACGGGAATTGTCCCGTGAAGGCAAGCATTCAATGAACTAAATTACGTAACAACAGTTTAATTCTCGTGGGAAGACACGTCAGTTATTTGGCATTCGCAATTTATATGAGCCAATAAACAAGTGAAAGTACTCATTTCGAATATAACAGTTTTGACGGATTAAAACTTAATATACATGAATAGTCATGGACTATAATTCTATATAAAAATGTATTTCACGTTTTAATCGTCGAGTACTTTTACTTGAGTAGCAGTACAAAACAAATTTACTAGTATATTTCCCGTTTTAAACTGTTTTATGTTTTTATATAATATGTAACACTTGTGTAGCCTACAAATAATACTTTTTCTGATTTTATTTATATTACTTGACCGTAAATAAAAGTTGTATATATTTAAAACAAATCTACGATCAATGTAAAATAATTCAAAACACGATTTCGTTTTTCCATTAGTATCACTAATTATGCAATATCCATTGATAAATAGAGATCACATTATGCGTAAGCACTGAAGCATAAAGAATATAGTAGGTCTCGAAAAGGCGGAACTTTGGCTGTCAAAATAATGCGTAGGCGCACCCTAGCGTATTT